AGTTTGAAAATATGGCCTTAGTGATAGAAATGATGCTGGAGATTGCATGATAGGATTTTGAAATAACACACGGACTTATCCATTGCAGATACCTTTTCTAAACAACATGAAAAACTGTTATAGACTTGGTCTTCACGCTATAAAATACAGGAAAATCAAATTGTCTGCATCTGTGGAAGGGGATGGTGGAAACATCAATGGGTTCAAGCGTAGCAGAAATTTTGTAGGGTGTAGGACCGGGTGGTGTTTTGTTCTCTGGCACTTAGGGTCACTATAATTCAGAACTGACTCTATGGCTATTAACAACAACAAATACGTATAAAATGTGCAAAATTTCCCTTTAATAGACTTCTCTGTCATTTCTGCATAACCTGCCTACCTTCCAGTGACGTATTTTTCTTATGTCTCTTTGCCTTCATAGATAAACCATGAACTCTTGAATTTGTACTCTTCACCTCCATACTCACACCAAGTAGCATCACTCCCGGAATCACTGGATTATACAGGTAACTTGTAATGTCGAAACTACTTGTGTGAATGGAAAGCCTGCCCTTATAATCTGAAGTCTTACAATTCAGTATTCAAGAGTAAGAACAAATCAGATGCTTCAGTATCCCTCACCATCAAATTCTCTTCCTGAAATCTGGCTATCCAAAATAAGGAACCAATTAGATGTGAATGGTGGTGGTAGTGGTGTGTCGTGGTGACTCATAGCGACCCTGTATAGGGATTTTGAGGAGAAGCTCATCAGCTGCTTGAACCACTGATCTTGCAGTTCAGACGAATTTGCAATCTGGTGCATTAATCCACAGTACCACACCAGGACTCCTTTTAGATGTGAATAGGAAGGAATATATGCTTAAATTCGTATTTTTTCTAAGAGGCATGGTATCCACTAGATGGCAAGCTTTCCTTAATTCCCAAACTCAATGTTTCTGAATTCCTAGTGCTGGGATGCTAAGGAAAATGTTGGAGCTTTGAAAAGAGCCTTGGTAACAAAGTGGCTAACAGCTGCACCCAGGACTAATAGAACTGTCCTTTGAACACTCCAGCCACTGTGTGGGGTAAAAAAAAGTGGGCAGATGTGCTCCCATACAAATGCGTAGCCTAGGAAATTGTATAGGACTGTTCTACTCTATCATATAGGGTGCTGAGCACACAGCACACAACAGCAGCAAGCTTTACAGGAGTAGATCCCTAAGTCTTTACCTTGCAGGTATGTTGAGTGGCTTCCAAGTGGAGACTTCGGGTTAGTAGATGAGCACTTACTTAGTCATTTTGTCTCTGGAACTCCTTCTCACCATTCTACGTCTGGTCAGTATGAAATGTGCCAATAATCCTATTCCACTGGATTCTAGGGGTATTATTCCATTTCTAGTATCTTCTCTCTCCCCAAAAATCCACAGGGCTAGAATTTAAACTATAGTTCCTTATTTTCTGGTAAAAGTTACTTCTGATCATGAATTACTATATGAATATAAGTAAGGTATAAATCCAGATGTCTTGGCACACCCTTGAGGCGCCACGTGAGGGTTAGCACAATCCTGGGTTTCAAAACTTTGCCTTTGGCTTCAGGCAGTTCGCAGTGTAGGGCGGTCACTTAACTAGCTTGGTAGGTCACCTTCCTTTTTGTGTTTCAGTGGGATAATGTCTCCTCCTGCAGTGAGATTGTGAGAGTAAAAGAAACAATGCATGCAAAATGGCCAGACCTGTATGTGTCACACACACATGCTGTCACCTTTATCTAAGATTGCCACTCTATTTTTCTTGGAACTTTACAATATACAGTAGTTTGAGTTCTAGCAAAACATTTTTCAAGTCACCAACTGTAAGACAGCTTTTTGTTAATATAGGGGACCAGTTTTGTGTTCTACTTTCTGTTTTCTTCATTAACCATTGGAGACACACGTACACATCTGTTCCCAGAAGGGCTCTGTTGAAAAACATCCATGACATCAGGGTCTACCGTCATGTTTTAATGCCTTGTGGGTGCAGAATGAGACACCTGACTTGACATTGTAAGAGAAGATTGATATGATAAGTTATAATCTTAAAATAAGGCATGTGATTTTTTTTTTGGACTGGATAAATATTTCTGTTTGAATCAGTGTGTGTGTGTTTATTTGCTAACTAAATGTGATATTTTAATTATCTAGTTTTAGTAGCATCTCTGCAAATATTTTTTTTGTGTGCGTGTGTAAGTTTGAAAAGTTGCTCAGTAGTAGAATGTATCTGAGGAGTAATAGCTTTCCTATATTTGGAGCTCTGATAGCGTAGTGGTTACGAATCAGGCTGCGGGCCGCAAGGTCAGCAGTTCGAAACTACCAGCTGTTCCGCGGGAGAAAGATGAGGCTTTCTGATCCCATAAAGATTTACAGCCTCGGAAACCCGGTACAGGGTTGCTATGAGTCGGAACCAACTCCACGGCACATAACAACGACAACAACATATTGAGCATATGTGTCACTGGTAATGCCTCGGAGCTTAAATCTCTTTACTTTTCCAAAAAGAATAGAGCCTTTCTCAAAGGTTAACTATTCCCATCATTTTACAAATGAAGAAGGCATCTTAGACAAAGAACAGAACTGGGATTTGAACTTTAGTCTGCCTGATTCCAGAGCCCACTCTCAATTTAGACTGCAGTGATAGAGATCTGTGTTCCATGTGCACTATTTGGGCAGAAGTACCTCCTGGAGATATTACAGACTGATTTGGGACACGGAAGGATTTCGCCAAGCAAGCACTTTTGGCTCCAGAGAAATAAGCCAATTAGTTACTCATTATGTAAATGACATAAAATTCACCTCCTAAAGGACACTCCTCTGCTGGTTTCATCCTTGTTGAGGCTAACACTTGGGTGTTTAGTTCAAAACAGAAAAGAAAAACAAAACAGGGTGAGTCCTTGACCCAGAGGTGCTTGTCTAAGCATGGCACTGCTCTTTTACATCAGAGGTGTTCCTCCTGATGTGATCTCACTGTTTGCCTAATCTGTGAGATTCTCACTCAGGCTCTGGTAGTATTTCCCTGCTATCTTGATTCCCAGAGCTAGTAGGGGCTAAATAATGATCCTGGTGTAAAAAGCAGAGCAGTGTCTGGGTGATGTAAAAGGTTTGTTCGCTCAGCTGCTAACAGAAAGCGTTCATGCCTACCCCAAGATGTCTTGGAAGAAAGGCCTTCTAAAAGATCCACTACTGAAAACCCTGTGGAGCACAGTCCTACTCTGACATACACAGGGTTGCCATGAGTCAGAGTGGACTGTACAACAACTGTTACTTACTGGGAGGGCAAAGGACGTTTGATTCTGGCAGCAGCCGCCTGTTCTTCCTGCTCAGGCCGCTCCTCGGTCTCTCCTCCATAGCCGCTGTCCTCTGTGTCCATGCTGTCACTCCTCCACTTGGGCTCATCCTCATCCATCTCTTTCCAGCCTTTGGTCAGCTCAGACACAAGGTGACCACACTTCCTCCTCCGCGTTGGGGAGCCGTGACTGTGGAGGAGTCTGTCGATAGCATCTTCTGCTTGTTCAGATTCAGGCAAGTCACCGTCCCTTTCATACCTGTGACTGAGGAGACTCACATCCCCTCCCCTCTCATAAGCCTTGCTGACCACTGTTTTGGTCACCTCCTTCCTTCTGATATGGGAGACCTCAGAGGGGTCCTCTGAGCATTGTTCGTCTCCAGGTTCCTCTGGCTGTTGGGATGGAGACTTTGGGATGCTGTGGTCTTTCTGGAAGGGAGTGGGATGTATCACTGGTTTAGGAACTTGATGTGGGTCCTCGGTCCCTCCAGGTAGCCAGCCTGTAGGCTCTTGGGCTTGCTTGGTGCTGTTCTCATTTGCCCATTGCTGCCAACCTCGGGCCAAGCTGATTACCAGGGTGGCTGTGCGAACCTTCCGGAGGGCACTCTTGGCTGGTTTTTCCTTCTCTCCTGGAGCCATGCTGCCCTTCCCTGCCCTGCTGGACACTGGTTGAAATGAGTGCAGTCCAGCGCAGTGGCTTGGATTTAAATAGAAGCAGGGTGTGGGGTGGGAGGGGGAACTTGGTGATGGTGGAAACTATGCTGAGCATTTCTTGCCAAGATGTGGTGCCTTCACTCTGACGGTGTTCTTTTTTTAAACCCTGACAGCTCCAGTTTCTTCATGGCAGAGGGACATCTCTGATGGTAAAGGACAGCGATATGCTCACTCCCTTCCTTCTCCAAGTGCCAGAGTGGAAGTCACTAGATCTGACCGTGTGCTCTGCCTTAATTTTTTTCTTGACCTTAAAATGTGCGCTTACCATTTATAGAAGCATACAATGTGTGCATAAATTGTGCTAGAAACCATATAGGCTCCTCCTTAGTAAAATTCCATAAAACTTAATAACTGAACCAAAACTGAAAGTCACTGAGTCCACTCTGACTCCTAGCTACCTTATGGGACAGACTAGAACTGTTTCCTAGGGTTTCCAAGATGGTACATTTTTACAGGAGCAGACAGCCTCATCTTCTCTCCCTTGGAGAGGCTGGTGGATTTGAACTGCTGACCTTGTGGTTAGTAGCCCAACACATAACCTACTTTGCCACCAGTGCTCCTTCATCACCCAATATGCATCTTAATTAGCCCCATTTTATAGATAAATAAAATAAAATCCAACTTCCTATGGCTAACAAGATCTGAGATTCAAACCCAGACCTGTCTGTTTCCAAGACTTCTGCTTTTGACACTACAAAATGGCACCTTCCATCCCAGTTACCAAAGAATCTAAATTGCCCTTCTCAATTGTCTTCCGTTTCATTAGCAACAGATCTTAGATGCCATCTCATCCAACCTTCATTTTCTTGTAGAGAAAACAGAGGCCCAGATAAGTGAGGAGACAAGGCCCAGACAGAGACTCATTTTTCTAGTCCCAGGTTTGATTTACTGTATCAATAACTCACATTAATATGCAATGAGATGATAAAATCTGGTCTAATCATGAAAAAAATTTCAATGACAAGATCTGCATATAAACACATTGAATTTAAGTGATTGCTATTACAGTGCATCTTTTCAAACATTTTATACAAAGAAAAGACCCCTTAATTAAAGATAAATAAATAATAAGTTTTAATAACAAAACCTTACTTAGCAAGACAATGGGGTCATGGAGATAAAGCCACTCTTTCAACCCTTAAAACAAAGCCAGGTACACAAATTTGTTTAAAATGTCTGCAAAGATAGGTCATTTGGACAGAAAACAAAACAAAACAAAAAACCTATGAGATTTGCTAAGCCAGATAAAAATGCTCAGGGTTTAGCACTCTCAGCACTGAATAACATCTTAAAGTAAGACAAACTAGAGAATTTTAAAAACATAACATTTCTGGTGTCTTTAAAACTATCCTTTTCCTACAGTCTTGACATGCAGTTAACCATATTGATTGAAAGCCACTGTTTAAGGACAAGGAAAAAAAAAAAAGTATGGAAATTAATTACTTCTGATGGAGAGACATTTATTTTGAAAAAAGAAAAATATGGATGTCAGTTTTCCATTATGTGTAGGTCATTTACCTCCTAGGATTAAAACAATTTGGGAAATGATTTAATACTCTATCTAGAAATCTGTCAGATGTATTTTCTGAATTCAACAGCATCTGATAATATTAACTGAGCGCCAACAACACAGAGGCAAAATCTCTCTTGGTTAATTAAGAGGAAATTGGATCACAAAGAAAGAAAAATATTCCGAATAAAGATTTGAATCTGAGTCTGGATGTCTGGCATGCCTACTGCAGACAGCAGACTGTTTAGTTCCTATCCAATTCCCCTCACCCTACTTGGTAGAAATGGGGTTCTTCAGAAATGACCATAAGCTTAGCCTAGGATCAGGCTAATTTATAACTTTTGAAAGGATGTTTCTACTTCCTTGCCCATACTTGCTCCACCTTCAGATATGATAGAGGAAGAAGAAATGGAGACGGTAAAATGTTCATAGTCTTTCACATATTAATAGACATCAGCTGCTTAGGATACAGGGCTGTCAGCAGATGGTTTTGGCAAAAAACAGAGGGCAGCTAATGAAAGAATGTGGCCATTCCTTCTGGGATTTCACCTCTGAGGCAACTGCAGTCCTTTCACATGAAAGAGTATAGAGTTCTTTTCCTCTTCAGGCCCATTTCAGGCCTTCCTTACCTCTGGCAAGGGCCCCTGGTGACTCACTGGGTAAAGTGTTTGACTGTTAATGAAAGTTCTGTGGTTGGTTCAAACCCACCAACCAATCCACAGGAGAAAGATGAAGCAGTTTGCTTCTGTAACAATGGACAGCCTCCGAAACTCCATGAAACAGTTTAACTCGGTCCTCTGAGACCGCACAGTTCAGTTCTGCTTTGTCCTATAGGGTCGCGATGAGTTGGAAACAACTTGCTGGGCAGTGGGTTAGAGTTTCCCCCTAAGGCAAGGTCTATATGCTACCTAGAGTCCTGGTGGGATGCTGCAGGACAAGCACTGGACCATAAGGTTGGTTTGAACCTACTGGATGGCACTTAACAACCAACAAACAACAACATATGTTACCTACTGATTACCATAGAAACCCTATATTCTCTTTCTAAGATATGGAGGGTTAGAAATTTGGTGTTCTGTGTTAACATAATGGTGTCAAAAAAATGAAAATAAAGTTTCAGAGATAAGGATATTGTGAAGTAAAAAGTGGTTTACAATATGAATTTCCTATGAAGCCATGAGATTTGAAACTCTTGGTGAAGATGCAAGCCTTATTAATGAAGTAATTATCACCCAAGAAATTTGTCACAAGTGTAAATGTATTGTGAAAAACTTTACATATTATTTGACTATATGACTAATAGCAGACTGTGAAGGGCTGTATTCACATTGCTCTCTGCATAATACACAGAGAACTCAGGTAGAGCCCACCCTCTGAACCAGCTATGTAATCTTACTAAAGAGATTTTAGAACCCTCCATCAAGTAAAAACTCTTTTACTTGTTTATTTTTAGAGACATGATCAAGCAAAAACATCAACTGAGAGAAAAAGATACTGCAAATGAATCTCTCCATTGTTCTGAAGTGCTTACAATGAGCAAGTCACAATGATAGACAACGTCAGTGGGAGTATGAAACTGATCAGAACCAAACTTCCTTCCAAGTTTCCCCAACCTGGCCAAGATAGAAAACACATACAGCTGCCTGTGAAACTTTGGAGGGTTCTACATTAGAAATATAAGATAAAGTTTTATGAGAGCATTGAGCAAAGGGTGATTCATTTTATTGGAAGGACATCATAGAAATGGTATGCCTTTATCTGGACCTTAAAAGACAAGGAGGATTTCACAAAATAGGACAGGGACACTATAATCTAAGTAAACAACATGAACAAAGGTACAGAAGCATAAAGAGAAACGGTGTGTTTAGAGACCTTAGAATGGGTCAGAGCAGTGGAGATGGTGGTGTGCTGTCGAGTCTGTTCCAAATCATAGTGACTGAGTATAGGGTTTCTGAGGCTGTAAATCTTTACAGGAGCAGAAAACCTCATCTTACTTCTGTGGACCGACTGGTGGATTTGAACTGCTGAACTTGTAATTCCAGAAGAGGCTACCAATGGCTCAGAGTAGAGGTTACAAACTCACATGCCTATCATGACAGGCAGGTGTCTTAAATACATGAGGTGAGGTGGGTTGGAGGTAAAACATAGGACAGTAAAGACCATGAGCAACCCTTGAAGTAAAATTTTAAGAGAACTAAGTAAGAGATCTGAATTTTCCAATTCTTTAAATGTTGACCGTTAACACACATGCACACAGACACAAACACAAATCACATACACTGCACACAAAATGAACTGGGTGAACCAACTTGATGCATCATGTCTTCGGGCCATATTCTGCATAGGCCCTAATTTATGACATCTGGAGAAAATTGGCACTGTGGGACAATGCACTGGGATGCAAGCTTGGTTTGAACCACAAGGCCAGCAGTTCAAATTCACCAGCTGCTCCTTGGAAACCTTAAATAGGGTCACTGTCAGTCGGAATTGACTCGATGACACAACAACAATGCAGTGTTTAGGAGGTAGGGAAAAGGGACTCGAGAGTGACAGGCAATGGCTCTGAAGCCTTGTGAAGAAGGACTTGCTTAGAAATCAGTGTTTTATCATGTGTGGATCCCGGCATCACTGAAGCCTGTGTGTCAAATACAGGTTGCCAAAAGACCATACTAAAACAAAGTAGGATTTGGATTTGGAAAAGGTAAAACTGTTTAGAGGCACTAATAAAATAATTTTGGAAATCAGTATCAGAATGAAGATGGTGGGCATGGAGAGGAAGATTTGAACACCATTGCGGGGGTGGAGGAGAGGGGACAGTTACATCAAGAGGACTTAGGGACCAACTAGTTATCATTGCTGTTGTTAAGTGCCATCGAGTTGGTTCCAACTCACAGCTACCTTGTATAGGGCTTCCGAGGAGCAGCTGGGGAATTTGAACCGCTGAACTTGCAGTTCAAATTGACCTTCCAGTCTAGTGCATTATGCTACAGCACCATGCTTATTGCCATGAGCAGGAGAATGTGAAGAGTGATCTGGAGATTTCTGAGTTGTGTGATGAGTCTGAGGAGATGGCATCAGCTGGGAAAGGGCAGCAGACAGAGGGAGCTTGTGGGAAGAAGGAAGTGTCCACCTTGAGTTAAGGATGCTGTGGGGGCATGGTGTGAGGATGTCTAGTAGCGGGAGTGATCAGGAGCATGGGCCCTGGAGCTAAACAGTAAAGGGGGAAATGGAGGCTCTGCTGGTTTCCTAGGGCAAGTTATTTCACTTCCCTAAGAGTAAACTTCTGCAAATTGAGTACTATCAGAGTAGCCATTTCATAGGATTGGGTGAGGATTTAGTAAGTTACTGTGTGTAATGAGTTACCTGATGCATGCAAACAATAAATGATTGCTGCTAATAAAAACTCCATGGTTTA